TGCCTGCTGAGCTTTTTGTTTTGCCTGGCCTTCAATTCCCCCTTCAGTGGTGGACGGATCGCCACCCCCAAGCGATCAGCCGGGGCCGGACCGCTAGAGGATAACTTCAGTTTGCGGTACCCGCTGCTACCCCTGATTTGGACCGGCCAGCCGACACCGGCAAGCTCAGTGGTCAAGTGGCGAAGACGTCTGCACTTTGGAACCAAAATGGCTGATTGTACAGTACAGCATACAGCTGTTATGTGCTAATTGTCCATGTGTAGTGACGCATAATCCCCCATTTTGGTTCCACAAACTGTCACACCTTTGGTCGCACTTGCCCCATAAGAAGCCGAAATCAAAAGTGTCCCACACCATTGTGCGGGAAGTGCGCCCTCTTTCAATTCTACACAATGATTGTACCCGCACAGGTCAAGTTTGAGCGGGCAGGTTGTTGATGATCTAAGACTGCTTTGCTTGGAACTGGATTGCAAACAACCTCCTCATCAGGGTTTTCCAGGAGTACATGGAAAAACTCGTGAGATATTGATTTTTAAACAGCAGCAACAAATAGCGAGATTGCTAACAAAGCAGGAGACAATGGGAGTTTTTGCAAAATTAACAAAGATAATTTTGAGAAACACAGAAATACATGTTCCGGTTGAATGGGAGGATTTCAACTCAGTTATCGAAAAATTAATCACCAAAGAATGTTCATGGCCGCTGCCATTTTACTTGCCAATATAAACCCAGCGATAAACGGTTGTCCGTTCCCAGCGTTCGACTTACGAACAACGAATCGAGCTGTTCGTAAAAAATACAGACCAAGCCTCCTGAACTCAGCCACAATGTTTGCCTGTAATGTCCAATACACCACAGAGGGGCCCAGGTAGTCTCAAGAAAATCCGTCCCTTCCGTGGAGTTGGATATAGTATGGCCCCGCCCATGGCCCCTACCCCGTTTATTTTATCCGGCAACAGATTTACTCTTCCGAAGTCATCTTGTCCAAATCCAACCCTCAAGGCCAACTAATTGGTCATGGTTGTCAATACTAGTGACTTGGGCGGTTGCGTGTCTCCAAGGGATTCGATGCAACTAATTTCTTCTTAATAATTAATTATCCTCCTTTCATCCATTTTCGAGTTTTCTTTTACACTGTGTTTTCTTTTATACTCGTCTTGGTTCCGTTTTGTGTGTTCAGTAAATAATATCATGATGATAAGTCCCTGATCGCTTTATTTAGCAGTCTTAACCACAGTGGCGTATCTTGGTGTTGAGACAGTGTTGGCGTAGTGTTTTTAAGCCTGGAAACTACCAGTAGCATCATTTGTTCAGCGATAAAATGATTTTTGTGGAGTGTCTGGCACTTTCGCTTCCTATTTAAAAAAAAATGGCAGCATGTTTCCTCTTCCTCGACGCTGGATTCGCCACTGCTTGACCGGCTGCGCGAGGCTCAGGGTGGGCAGACGAGAAGGCTGCAACACGGGGAAGCAAAATCCAAACATTTCCCTGAGCTCCAAGAAGTCGCTGCCGCGCTGTTAACACCACTAGGCCTATGTCTTCTCCTGGCAGACGGCCCCAGCAAGCAGAGAGTCACGCCCATGACAACCATACCAATGTATGCGGCTGTTGTCAGCTAGAAAACGAAACAGTACAGGCCCCTGTAGCCATCGAAAGCCTTGTTATCACTTGGTTGGTAGTTACTGTAGACCCATGCATTTCTTCAAGGACGAGATACAACGTTTGGGTTTACAGAAAGTCTGTTAATTTACCAACCACTAGCTACTGTTTTATAGTTAAGAAGAAATTAGAATGGTGCGATTTTCTTTGAGTTGTCGGGCTTAGTGATCCCTGTTCACCACTTCCCGAATAGCATCGTGTAATTAGGGCGTGGTTGTGGCTAAATGGTGATTCAGGTTCCGCGGCTTCTGACTAACCCGCCCCAAACAAAGATACTGACAAAATGGTAAGAGCCAACAACACTGGGCTGGATAGCTCAGTTAGTAAAGCGTCAGTACAGTAATTAGGGCGACGCATGTTTAATGCTGCCAAAATCAAATTCTTTGTTCGTCTTTTTAATCATTTGCAAGCACCTTGTCTGGTTTCCCGTCATACTTTGATTCATGATATATGCTTTAAATATTTTGAAAACCATTACCTAGTCTTCAGGGCAGCTTAGTGTACCTGGATACATCCCCACTAGCGAGGAAGAAACACTGCATTAGTATCAAGTATTATAATTTCTTGGATATGATGCTGTATCTGAACAGGTTTCCGTTTCAAATACATTTGACTGAGATTAGATTAACTTGGATGTGTCCATTCCTCTGGAATAGGGTAATTGGACATTTCAAAGTGTGCAACTGCTAATAGAAGAATAGTATGGATACCAGGCCCAAGGATTCTGACTACTCTACGAATCAAAGTTCCGGTATCACTTAATGTGAGACTGGAGGAAATCCTCAAGTTTTTCGGAGATAGCCGAGATATTCCGAAGTCGTCCCGTCTATATTCGGGATGTTCAGTTGTTCCCGGCTGGGTAGGTAGTCTAGCTGTTGAACGTAAACTTTTGTATCCGATTGGCAACTGTTGATCCAACTGTATTTGACTTTATACATTGAAGGCGAGGGTCGCCTTGGCCGAAATGCAGAATATAAGTTTAAGAATAATACGTTTCTCCGACCATTGCAGGCTTTATGCCTGAATCATGCTCACAGTGGGCATACATTTGCAGTATTGCTCACTGGATATGGGAAAAACTTAATTTTTGAGATGTTGCCACTGATGAATTCTACAACACCCGGGCTCTCAACTTGTGACCCCTGACCCTTGCATCATATCTATTTGCATCCCTGGGTGATGCCTGACCAAAGTTTTTTTATCAAAAGTTGTCAGGGAATCTTTTGGCAGGAACCAGACTAGTAGAAGAAGATCCTGTAGTTTTATCTACTGGATAGAGACGACATTTAAAAGAATGTTCGTTTGTGAATGGACAACTCATTCCGGTTCGACCTTTTTTTTTAAATTTAAAAGAAAATGTTAAAGGTTCAGAACATTAATAACGGCCTGATAGATACCGCCTCCCCCACCTAATTGGTGTTTACTACTATAACAGAAAAAAGTATTATAGTCGTTTCAAGAGAAGTCTATTAGTGGATATTTATTTTCCCATATGATATTGCTTGAAACAATGATTTGCTCGCACATAACGTCATCGTTGTTTTTTTTTAAATAAAAGTTGTGTACATTTAGAAGAAAAACTCTTTTTTGAGGAATCGTTCAAGAACTTCTATTTCAAAACCGTAAAAATAGGAAATGTGGAACAGGTTCATACAGCAAAAACCCTCAGATGATCTTTAAGAGGTAAACCTTTGCCTGATTCAAGGAATTATAATGAACACAGTTGGTAAATAGCCGAAATCAATTAGTAAAAATGCAAGTGTGGAATCGTGAAATTGAAAATTCTTGGTTTCCTAGCTTTTGGCTCTCTGCATTGAGCGTCACTAACAAAGATGTGGGGCTCTTCGTCAAAACAAAAATTCCTAATTGACTACTTTTCGGCCTTGCCAGTAAACACGTTTTCTACGTGATGAAAAGTAACATTAGTGTCTCTTCGTGTAAAGGCAAAATGCACTTATCAAGATTCGTCCCTTCACCAAATGAAACCAATCGAAATAAAAAAAATGCTACTTTCACTAAATGCGGGGTTGCAGATTTGCATTCACGTGAAGGGACATCTTTGGTGCGTCAAAAATGGACCACCCTATTGTCTCTTTTTCTGCAAGTAGATTTTCGGGATTTGGGACTCTGCGTGAAAGTATTTTGAAAACTTAATTTGCTGCTTGCCAAAATTTGGATTTTACTTTAAGAAAGCTTCGTAGCGCCTAAAAAGTGGACGACTAAAAACTTTAAATTTCCACTAGCATTTTTTTATGCTTGCAAATAGGACAACCCAATTTTCTCATTTCTGCAAGAAGATTTTCGATTTTTTTATGTTCAGATTTGTTGAACCCTCCACTATTCATACATATCACAGTATGTGTATCTGATGATTGCTCTGGACTCTTCACATTGTAACTTTGAATTTTTTGTCTGAATGACCCAGGCCTCCACTATAACTGTCCACTTGTACTGATGACTTGCACAAACATTCAAATGAAACAAAAATTAATTAAATTTTTGATGTCAAATCAGTGACCGATTGGTGTACAGGCTGAAAGATTTATTTTCGTTGTGGCTATCCTTTTTGTGATTGAAATTATTTGCTGAATACGTGTTTTGGAATTGGTGAGGCTTCAAAATTAATTCAGCAAGTTCAAGTTGCACTTTAATATTTACCATTTTTACTTTCTCTATTTCGCCCTTTTTGAAACTCTTGGTTCACTTGGTTAACAGCACTTAGCTTCTTCTCTTGATACGGCCTTTTTTCAATTCATTTTTTTCTTTTTTTTTTTCATTCCGCAACAATTTCAATTGTACTACTGGACATGGACACAACAGTGTATTACATCCAGCATCGTTTAGGGGACACATAAATGTCCGACGGCAAGCCGCCGTCGTCGTCATTCTAATTACACGGGTGTGCTGGGAAGTCGGAAGTTTGCGGTACCATAAAGGACTGTCAGGATTTCAATTCCCATTTGCAAGTTTCTCAATGGAAAAAAATATTTCTTCCACATTGTTTTTCAGAGCTGTGACACCACCCGTCAGACAATTGACCCTCTACCGTTAAATGTTGGCTGTTCATCGTCCCAAGACCGTTCCATTTTGAGCGGCGTTGCGGTCGTTTCGGTTTTCAACTTGTCCACTTTTGGACCACCCTGCAGTCGTCAAAGTGATATCCCAATTTCTGCTAGTATAAAATTGGGTTTTATGAAAAGGGGTCGTGCAACTTGATATAACTTAAAATCTACTGGCAGAAAATGAGAAGACGGGGCTGTCCACCTTTGAAGCTCCATAGACAGGACCCGCCCTAGAAATGGTCCGACCCATGTAGGAAAAGCATATCAGTGAACTGCTCACGCACGGAAGTCGACGTTGCTGCTTGTTGGTGAGTAGAATCTTCCATTTCTCCAGCCTGCGAGGCCTGTAGCCTTATTTAAAGTCAGTCCATAAATGCATACAGCGACTGTACATGACAAATACATGAAGCAACTTTGCAGTAATGCAGGCAGAGGGTGCCTTTTTACTCTTCGTGCTTGAAGCACACGTCAGCCATGTTGCTGTTCCAGCGTGGGCCCATCAAAAACATGTCAATGTTGGGCACACTCGGCTTGTTGGCACGATTGCCCGATCTCTCTGCGTGCGATTTGGTCATTGAAGTCTCCAACTTGCAATATTTTAACTACCGTGAGAGAAAACGAGCCGTGAGGAGATGGTGGAATTATCATGAAATCGATCCCATGACCGCGCTAAGCAATCGCGTTTCTCCACCGAGCGAGAGCCCCCAACAACACTCGTTCGTCCATGTACATGAAAGCGTACCACTCAACACAGCACGTGTACTTTGTATTACTAGCGATATCGATGTGAATGTACATGTACTGTACGTCGTCCTGCATGAACGCTGTCTGTGTACTGAGGATTTCTGGACATCCCTACGCGAAAGGTACTAAGTCAGGGAATCCCCTTGACTTGAAATCAACACGCGAAAGGTACTGAGTCGGGGGATCCCCTAGACTTGAAATCAAGTCGTGAGTCGGTCGTGTTTTTTGTCCAGAACAATATGAGCCAGCATGCTCCGTTGATTCTGTTCACCGTTGCCTGTAACCCAGCGTGCTGCGGTTCGGCCCGCCTACGACGAGTGTTCGTTGGCTGTTCAGGCTGTTGCTACATATTAAACAGATTCATCTATTTTATATTTAAGGATGCCTGTATTTGATTAGTGCCAGTTTCTTTCCTTTAATATATTGCATTAATACCCCTTTTTTATACGACGTTTAAGACCTGATAAACAATCGGTAGTATTTTGAAGCTATTGCAAATTGAAAAATTTTGCACGAGGATCAGTTATCTGTAGGTAGTGCACGTGTTCGTTGATGCAGTACATGTACATGTACGCGCAGGTGTACACATCGTGGCCGACTATCAGTTGACATAGAGCCAAAGTTGAAAATTATAAACCTAACGAAAGACACTCCGCAAAAGCTTAAAAATACCATGGTGTCCTCGTCAAACACTTTTCACTGCGATTACGAAGATATGCAGCACGTGTGGAACAAGTGAGGAACACTTCAACATTTTGATCGTAAATTTTTTTTTTTTCAGAAATGTAGCGTACACACATCTTTCACCCCATTTTCCCCGAAATATTGCCTAAGATTAAGAAGAAACACATCACAAATTGAATTTGAAGCCTGATTATACTTCTCTGGTATAAATTCAGCAAGCTTTTACACAATGTAGAAGATCTCCACGGATGGATTTTGGTATAGTCTTTTGCTGGCTGGAGTCGCCATTTTAACAAGCACAGAAAATGACCACGAATTCGCCGAATTTTGGCGCATACGCACAAACTAAGTGGAAGGGTGAACGTACATTTGTACAGTGATTCACAAACGTTCCATCGGTGCTCAGCTTTAAAATCGTTCACTGGACTGTTCTTTAGTGCTGCACGTGGTTGAAATGCTCTATCTTTGTCTTTTGAATACTTTGCAGAAATGGCTACACGTGCATCCATCCCTTCTGGCGTTGAGAAGCATCTTGAATGCCCAATATGTGGTGACAGATACAGACGGCCGAAAGTACTAAATTGCTTGCACAGCTTCTGCGAGGAATGTCTGGTGAAGTACCGTAATGGTAGATATAAATATCATCCCAAGATCCCTTGCCCTGTGTGCCGTCAAGAGACAACACTGCCCAGGACAGGCATAACAGGCCTTAAGACAAATTTCCATTTGGTTGGTTTGATTGAGGAATTTACTCCGCAAGAAAAAGCCGCATACTCACTGGGCTCCAGGCTACTCTGCCAGACATGCAAGGAGAACAACGAGGCTTCACACCACTGCATTGACTGCGGGAAGAATATTTGCCTGAAATGCTACGAAGACCATTTCCGCTTCCCGGCGTTATCTAGCCACGCAGTTGTAACACTAGATGAGATATGCGGAGGTAAAGTGAAAGTGATCAAACAACTCGATGGGTACAAATGCCACCAACACAACGACAGAGTGAAGCGGTTTTACTGCAAAACATGCGATGAGCTGATCTGTCAGGGCTGTACAGTTGTTGAGCACGCTAAACCCAACCACGATATCACTGATAGTAAGACAGCCGCTAAGATTTTGAGGGAGTCACTAACAGATAAGTTCCCTGCTTTCAATAAAGACGTACAAGATCTAGAATATCGTCTTTGGGATGCAGCTAAAGCAAAGACAGCACTCAACAGTAACAAAGCCAAGGCGCAAAAGGAGGTGCAGGAAAGAGCTGCCGCGGTCATAGCCAAAGTCAGAGCTGAAGAGAAACGGATTCTTGGTGAGATCACAACCCGGGTACAGGAGCAAAACGAACGACTGGATGAGTATGAGAAGACACTGAGCGACTTACTTCGGAGAAGGAAACACTCGCTGAAGTCGGCGCTAGACATTGTCCAGAATACGTCAGACTACGATTTCCTATCGCTGCACTCCGTAATCAGTAACGACCTGGACGAACTCAGAGGTCAACAAACCCCCAAGATTACGGGTCTGCAGTCATATCCCGTATTTGTGCAGAGCAACATGCTCGATGTTGATCTGGGCAATGTGGTAATGAGAGACACCTGGGAACTGTGTCTAACGTTTGGCCAACAAGGAAGTGGCGATGGAGAGTTTCAATCAGCCAGAAGTATTGCTGCTGCTGCTGCTGAACCTGACGAGATGGCCGTGGCTGACTGGAAGAACAAACGAGTTATTATCTGCAACAACCAGGGACCCACCGGGAAATTCCTGGCGATAAACGCAAGTACGTTGTTAGTTCACGTGCGTTTCAGATTGCAGTGTCCAGGGGATGTCCATCCCCTCAACTGTTTAAAGACAAAGAAGTATATATGCTTCCTGTTACCAGGTTTCCTTTGTTCCTAACAATTGCCTTGCTCCAAAAAAAATCGTCAGATACATTGTGGACAGATGCAAATGATGGCTTGCACCTTTGCTTTAAAAAAGAGAAATTTATCTTTCTCTCGTAGCATTATCATAACAAGGTCAATTTGCTCATGTAAGTTTATTTATTTCATATTCCTACCTAAGGAGAATGTATCAAGTTGCAAATCTATTAACACACAGTCGATGGGTTCTTGATTCACGTGATCCAGTCTTGTGCCTCTCTTGTCAGCAAAGGTCAGAAAAGACTTGAGCAGGTTTCGTACAAACAGATTAATCCTGTTAAGCTCATTTTGTAAACCCTTGTCTGCTGCAGCTAACCGTAATGTAAGTTGTAACTTTCCATCTAGACACGAGTACACCAAGTCGCACTGGCCATCGATTATTTTAGATTTCGAAGAACAAGAGTTCATTTTTTTTGCTGTGATTTCAGGGTTGCCATTTTGTTAATTTTTCAAAAAATAAATTAATATGTTGGTAATTTTTTTCTTAGAGCTAAAAAATACAAATTAGTTGCAAATTCTACACGTTTTTCACGTTACTTTTCTTATTCAAGGGTTCTGAAAGCACTTAGTGAGGGGCAGCGTGCATACTGTATTGTTTTTAGAATCAACTGTAATCATCTTGAGTAAAGTTGTACCCACTGAACGGCCCTGCACGATGGCTACCATGCAAAGCCTGTACAGCTTTGTAGCATCAATGTAACCCTGTTAATATTAGACAACCCTTGAAGGGGTAGCGTCCACTTACAAGTCATGGACGTCGACGTGTTGAATTTGTAAAGACAGCATCGAAAAGCACGTCATGCTGAACTCTCTTAAAACCATCATTTGGGTTTTATTGATGATTACGACAATTATATAATTTGCAGAAATATTGTTGGTTATTTTTATCCATGTAAATACTTTTTGCAGAGGGCACACTGGGTTTACCCTGCGAGGCAGTACGAATTTTTACTCATACGGTGGCTGGAGCGGACTATTCCGTTGAGTCCGTTTCATTTTTCAGAGTTGCAAAGCCCTGAGTCCGTCCTAAAGGTATATTAATGCTTCAGTGGTTGTCCCCTAGCCTCTACAGATCTTACAAACTAATAGAAACAACCAAAAGTACATCAAAGTACGGTGGGGGCCGTTTTCACAGGCTATGCCGATTTGAAGGGGGCGCCCTCGCCACGCGCCAGCCAAGCCATACCACCACCACAACACCCCCAACAAAAATAACACTTCAAAGACGGCCGAAAGCTGCCTCTGACAAGTTCCAGACAGCTGTCACTGATAAAGAACATTCCACTGCCTGCCCCAGGCACCGTTTGGTAAACAACTCCCATTAGATTGTACACAAAGGACCACTTAGCACACAGTCCTGTGGGAATTGACTGGCTCAAGGCCGGCTGAATTTTTTTCATTTTTTTCAGGCTAGGGGAGGCCCTGGCTGTAAAGTGACTAAACCAGGTTTTTCAGCATGTACAGGGGTAGGATATGATAAGTAGTCGTGGCATTTGGACTTTAAAAAAATTAACGTTAATTAGCTCCAATGGACTCGCCAAAAGAGGCCGCTCCCTAAGTCTTCATTCATAGCGAGCAATTCTCAACTGAAAAATGGAAAATTTTCCATTTCTGCTTAAATATTAAATTTTGATTACAGTTTGGTAAGAACAAAATTCCAGCCAAAATGTGATCATTCATTCATAATTACCTTTTTTCCAGATGACGTCGTTGCTATGACAAACCACTGGCTGTGTGCTAACATCAGTAAGGTTCTCATGTACCGTCGAGACGCAACGCTAGCCTGTGAGTTCTACACAGTCCCGGAGACGGAGGTTCATGGTGAGATAGATGTGCAGCTTGTGAGTGTAGCCGTCATGAAGAACGGTAACATCCTTGTTGGGGATAGAAAGAGGAAGGTGTTGACTGAGCACAAGCCCGATGACGGTAAACTCATACAAACCACACCAGTAAGGATCGTACCTTATTGGCTGGCTGTGATGAGCAACGGCTGGATCGTGATCAGTGACCGGGACCAGGGACTAGTGGAGATAATGGATGTTTCTGATGGCAATGCTATCCCGATTGCCACAATTCAACCAACCATCGACGGTCAACAAGTGAAACACTGCAGTGGTGTGGTGAGTACCAGCTCTGGCATATTCGTTGCAGCGTGTACAAGTTACACTAAAACCGGTCACATTCATCATTACAATTCCGTAGGTCAGTTTGTCGGCTGTGTGGCAAAGGGTCTGTACAACCCCTGTGGAATCACACTCACAGCAGATGGGCAGCAGCTGGCAGTAGCTGACTGGCACTCCGTCAAGATATATCACAAGGTGTGATGTCATCCAGCGTGATGCTGACTGGTAGTCCGTCAAGATATTGGATTGTTCACCGTCCAATATGTATGAGGACTGGTAGATAGCTGCAGTTTAATGTATGCGATTAGCCCTTTCAATTTGGATGCTGAATTTTTAAATTATTGGCGCGCCAATAGCAGTGCAGTAAAGTGAATCATCCTTGATGGGCCTCTACCGGTCGCAGTGTGTTATTTAATGATTGTTTATGAATATCATTGATACATTAGTTTACTTGCAACTTGTTTTTCGAACCAAAGGTTATTTTGTAAATCTTTACATAAATAGACAATTCAAGGTCAAGTTAATCTCTGTAATTAAGAAGAGAAGGCAAAAAGTTCTCTGAGCTGCTGCTTGATTTGTACATTAAGCAGGTGTCGTTTCCCAATCAGCATAAAACTGGCAGACTTCTGTCGGCTTCATTACCAGCTACCGGTCCTTATAGTCGGAGGACGTCTGTAAGACGTATGGAGAAAACGTTGGGGACGGTAACCAGTCGATAAAAATATATGAAAAGGAGTGATGCTAGCCAGTGCGATGCTGACGGGTACACCTAACTCTGAGCACCGCGTGATGTGTTTGATCTACGTTTGCATTTTGATATAAATTAGTTTGTTATGTCAGTCTTTGAAACGTTACTAGGGTTTTCTTCACGTACCATTAAATTGTTTCAATTTTATTTTCCCCCGAATCGACAAATTAAAATGAATGCTTTAATATTGTTATATTCCGAGTGATAAGATGACGCAAAAAGGGGGCAAATGTTGTTGTTTTTCTTCTGAAAAAACGGAAATTGGTAAACTTAATTTTTCTTTTAGTGGACTAGTCAAGACATTTTATATTGGAATTTCAGGCTGTTCATAGTGAAGGACAGCAACACGTGGAAAGGCTTGCCGTAGCACCATGCAAAGGAATATATCTCTATGAGTATGTGTTGTCCTAAAAAAGAACTGGGAATATACTCAACGTTTCGGACTGCATGCACAGTCCGTCGCCAGGAGTATCCTGACGAAGGACTTAGCACGCAGTCCGAAACGTTGAGTATACTCCTGGCTCTTTTTAGGACATTTCATATTATTAATGCTACTGGAAGTAAAACAATCGGGCCATTGTGATGATTTTTTCAGGTTTTGGCTGAAGTGAAACGAAATTAACGAGAACCTGTTTGGTTTTTCCTATTAAAGCAAACGTTTTTTAAAGTAGCCTATTTAATTTAATTTGTTTAAATTGTTGCTGAGTTTAACAATGAATGAAGTCTTACTCTGTGACCTTTAAAACTGAATATTTCATGGTTAAAATGCAAAATGTAATGTTCTGGTTCTCCATATTTGTTTTCAGTAAAATTTAGAATCACTTTAACAGTTTGGATATTATAGTATGTCATTTTAATACATTCTGAGGCATCACAGTAATTACAAACTTGTCCATATCAGCAGAAAATAACGAAAACAGCAAAACACGACTTGAACTGTTGCAATATTCGGAGTTTAAAAGAGCTTTGACAAATAAGATAACCTTCATTTACTGATTTTCTAAATTTTGTAGGCTATCTAGCAGTTCTCTGGACAAACTGCCCGGTGCACAGTATTGTTCAGGCTTGAAGCCACGCTGTGTAGATGTATTCCAACGTAATTATGTTAACAAATAAGAAAAGAAAAACTTCACTGTCATCATACTGACATAAATAGCTAAATAGATACTATTTCAGCTTGATGTCGAGCCTAAATACTTAACATGGAAGCGTTGCGTTAGTTTATTCCATTTGTACATGTGACCTGTTTGTCTCTTTGGTCACTGAAACCAGGGCCAGCCTAGTGGATATTGCAAACTAGTTTTGGGATCACTTATGGTGAACCATGTCCATGTGGAACAAACAGACCCTTTGCTTCATGAACTCGTCAAAAGGCTGGATGCACACCTGTCGTTGCATGCAGGAAAGATGTTGTTCAGCCGACCCTACTACCCATCGCTGTTTACAAACGAGACTCCATTTATCCCCAGTGAAATAAAAAAGGACGAAAAAATACACATTCTGTGTATTTATGACAAAAGCACGCAATGTTATGTAATAAGTAAATATTTCATATAAGTCTTTACGTTTTTATTTACAAATTTTAGTAGACATTTACATTTGTGTAAAGCTGTAGTCAGGTTAGTTTCAATGTAATCTCAATTCAGCTCCTATGTATGTTTCGAAGTATAGCTTTTTAACTGAACTGATGAATATAAACGTAGCCATCAATACTTCTCAGATGATATTTCAAACGCCTGTGTTCTCCAAATGAAAAAGATATCCCACTGTGATCCAAGGACTTCGATTCGTAATCATGTGATTGCAACCTTATTGTGACGGGAACGTGGCTTGGAGTCGATCACTCCTTAAAAGTGATAGGATGCTGACAAAACTTGGATTGTCTACTCCAGAGGATAATTTTAGTATCAGAGAGCCAATGCAGAAAAAAAAACCTGTAGGAGGAGACCCTCAAATTACAACAGTAATTACTCATCTCTATGTATTGGGCTCTTAAATAAAAGGCTGATTAAGTTTATATAAATGTATATTAAAATAATGTTCACACAGAAGTGAATAATTGGAATATTGCAAGCAGCAGAGACATAATAGAATAAATTCAATCTTACCCCGATGCAGATAAAAATATAATGTGCTACAAATGAGTGCTCCCCTCTTCCATGTGAGTCCTCCCAGAATTGGCTACAATATGAACAAACGAGGCACATACTGTACATCACCATACACACATAAGAATGGTGCATTGATCCTCATAACACGCAGGGTGTTGTACATGACACATTTGAGTGCATGGAGCTGGTAGTTAAGTATAGCCTACGCATACGACGACAATGCCATAAAGTGCTAACATAATGTGTGTGTGTACATGTACGTACTATACAAGTACATGCAAAAATTGAAAAGTTGCGTACATGTAAAGTTCGAAAGGTCACGTAAAAATTGCACACTAAGCACTCTAAAATTACTTAAAATCAACGATAAAGACCCAAAGCAGGATTCACTATGACATTAAGGGATCGATTCATATATATATCTTTAGTTGGGATTACCGGAATAAGTGTCAAAATGGCATATACATTCGGACAACCGACAGTCCAGCCAGTGAAATCGTTTTTATAAAAATTACATTCGACCATTAATGAGCATCTTGGTTGCAAGTATCCTGCGAATCATCAAGGCAAGAGTTTCAGCAATTTCTTCCAGAGTTTATAAAGTGGACGTTCAAAAACTCTGAGAACAATATAAAGCTTTACAAATTTGAACCACAAGTGGTAAAAATCGCCACTCGACAAATTTTAAGAGCCAATATTTCTTCCACCAAAATAAGTCAGACTAGTTATTTTCCAAGTCTTCTGACAGCGTCAGACTGATTATAACTTAATGAATACAGTATATGTATATTATGCGTCCAAAAAGTATCACATATGAATTACTTCATTAAACAAGCACACCTTTACTCGAATAAAAAAATCAACTGTGGGATCTCCTACCCCAATCGAGATATAAGAAAGAGCAACAACCATACTCAAATTAAGATTAAGACACAGAAAAAAAGGATATAAGTACTGTGGCGAAACAGTCTGTGGACTGACG